GATCTAACCGCCTTCTGGAAAAGCTTCACAAGTACGTTGGTACGCAAATGCGCTTTGTCACACAAGTGACGGTACGCATTTCAGATTGTTGCCGCGCATGCGTACCTGCGTACCACTTATGTGCACCCCTGATTATAAAGCCTTAATGCAATCGAATGTAAAACAAAAAAGTTATGATTGATGAAAGTAGTAAATCGGTCAGATTTGACCCGAACACAACAGGAGTGTTAATCATCGGTCTGCCTTTGTGTATTTGATATGATAATCAAAATAGCCTCCTCCCAAACCCTTTCCCTCCCGTAATGCATTAGGCTCTACCTCAAAACAGTCAATAACAAAATCTGCGACTCATAGAAGATGTGCACTTTGTTGTTTATATAATATAATCCTGATAATCACTCTCCTGCAGTGAAGTGATCAGGTACCACATCATACTGGCCTTTCATTTAAGTTGATCTCTGTTACGTGAATCACGGGTAGGTCGGCCATATGCCTCACTCTGATTGGCTGCTGGATCAGCGGAATTAAAATAAAGCCTCTCTGTTTCTCCTGTTTCAATCTGAGCTCTGTTACTGTCTTCCATATAAGGGCAGCTAAGAGACATTTTCCAGAAGAGGAAGAGTTGCTAGAATTTCATTAGTATGCCAATTAGCTATTATCTATGGATGTGCACTGTACTGTACGCACATCATGATCCACAAATAGGCACTTCATGAAAACATCCTGCTGTCAGAGTTAATAAGGATACCCCCCATTCTCTCAATAAATGAAGTGATCTAACTGTCGGGCAGGCCTGTCAGCACACACAAGCATATGTCTAATTTGAGATCTGTGTGTGAAGGAGCGTGTGTGTGAGTTGAGTTGAGTATCAGAATGAATTTGGTACATGTAACAGATCAGTATGAAAGAACATCCATAATGACAAGATTTGGAACATAATAAGGTAATAGACGTGAGTGGCATATGGAAATGGATTGGATCCTTAATTTATAAAGTTCAGGAGACTTGAAACTGGTAAAGTATTCATGTGTATTTGTTTAGATATAATCCATTTTTAAATAAAAGTCAAATTAAGGGAAGTTTGGTCAATGTTGACTTTATTGAAGAGGGTATAACTAATCTGAGTGTCTGTGAAACCCCATTTCAAGAAGGACAGTCGTTTTTGTCATATTGAGCCAAGAAGTGATATTCAGTGTTATAGACACAAGTTCAGAGCTCCCTAGAGGTTTTCTTTGAATTGTAACCTACCGTCTCCCTCTTTTCTAATTATCATAACTACAACAACTACCATGTCTCTTTCACTGTCATGAGATGAGCACAGATGCTTTAGGCTTGCGTCCTTTGGCCTCGGCTTGCATCATCAACCTGACAGATTCTCTGGATGCTCCTGATTGAAAAGCAACAGCAGTCAGGAAACTCCAGCTGTGTCTGAATTCAGAGGATACGGCCTATAGAGAAGGGTCCCTCAGAGGCCAGGCTGAACCTGCTCCTCTTCTGCAAATGATTAACTCATTGTAATAGTAACCATTGTGCACCTGTGCTTTGTTTCCCTCTGCACACCTGCTCTACAAGGCAAAATATGGTTTCTTCAAAAACGGCAGAACAGCTTTCAGTTTTTTATATATTGAAAGGCCTGATATAGACGAAGAGCTATACAAACACATTTAGAAATAGTAAATTAGCTCGGGTCGGCCATCATAATAAATCAGACTTAGAAAAAGAAAGATTTTATCAGAGTACTTGTCAGCTTTTCTCATCAAAACGGTCACTTACTTTCAGCAGACACCAAACCATCCTACAACATTTTTTACTCCCTTGGTTTTAAATATTGTATACGAACCCACTGGTTCTAAATAATTAATCTTAACAAGGCTAACAAGGTATTTTACGGCAATTTACATATTCAAATTTCAATGTCAATATTGTCAAATGTCAGTCCTTTCAAGCAGACCAAACTGCACCCTGCAAAGAGGTGCTCTGCAAAACACACACACACACACACACACACACACACACACACACACACACATGCACTCCCTCATCCCTAAATGTATTATGTACAATTAGCTGCTCAGTGAAGACCGGTGGCAGATAAAAATGAACACCAGAGCTAATTTCATTTGTTTCCTCTTTTTTCCCCCTTTCACACAGGGTGGTCTCCCTGTAGAGTTTCTTTATAGTGTTACTATGAAGGCTGTAATTTCCACTAGTAAGAGATGGCTGTGCACATTGTCAGTTTTCATCAGCAATTATCTCAAACCTAAACACACCATGACCAGTTACAGCTGGTCGTGTTTTGTCTCCATCGCTAAGCAGGTTGCCAAGGTAGCTGCCAGGCAACAAGAGCAAAGCATCCCAAAAGTTACAGCGCCCTGTCAAGAAGTACAAAACCTCATTAAATACAACTTTTTGCATGCACAAACAGAGGATAAACAAACAGGATATGAGCTTTAGAGGGGCTGTTGGATAGAAGTTGTCAGCTGTGGATAGCTGGAACCAGGCTAGCTGTTTCTCCATTACCAGTCTTTATGCTGAGCTAAGCTAACACCACAGATATCGATCTTTTTATTCGACTCTCGGCAAGAATGCAATAAGTACATTTCCCTTAATGTTAAACAATTAAAGAATACATCAACTAAACCTAACTAAAGTACATGTAAACATTCACATAGTTTGTATGCATCATCCAGTATCAATTCTGTCTCTTTCAGGTCAAGGTGACACTGTGTATTTGTATGGAAATTAGTGCAGAAACACTGATCTGCTCACTAGGCCTTGAGATCAACAACAACATTTCTAGGAACACAGGAGAGTGGAGCAAATCTATCCCCGGTCGCACGGCCACACTGCAGGCATGAGTAATCCACCCTCTTGTCATTGACGAGTTGTATTGATACACCCTTTATCTGCACCTAGTTAATGCTGGGGTGTTCTAGATGGTACCGTGTGTGCCGCTGCATCTCATCTTTTAAAATGGATAATGAAAGTTCCACTTGCAGTTTTCCAGTTTGCATGTTTCCATTCCATCATGTCACAGCATAAGTATGGATGACACATAGGCCGTTTCTCAATGCTGAGTATACCTGCTGCAGAGCCACTATTTCAAGTATACTACGTCATCGAGTGGGGCCGAATGCTGGGCATTTAACATGCATTTAAACAGTCGTTAGGCGCCACTCAATGACGTAGTATACTTGAAATTGTGGTTCAGCAGCAGGTTTACTCGACATTGAGAAATGGCCATAGACAAGCGCTATTCCTTGATTTTTAACTCAGAAGGATCTCTATTTCAATTGTTTCTAGTATTCTTGTTATCTTGTTTTACTTTGTACAGAAGATTTTACATTTAGGACGAACCCCAGTGACAATATTTTCTGAATCTCTCTCCACTGAATCACTCTATCTTAATGTGTGTGTGTGCCTGTAAGAGAGTAGGACCGAGACACAGATGCAGCCATGTGTTAGAAGGTGTTTATTTCTTTGCCACGGGTCCTCACATGCTGTTTATCCACCAGTAAAGTTCCAAGCATGCTGATGGCTGACTGGAGGGATTCAGCTCCGGGTCTCAGTGGGGGGCAGTGGGGATGAGAAACAGACTGAATCTGGGGTTTTATATTAGAGTTTTGCTTATTATACTGGGCTTACGCCTTAAGGATGACAGGGAGACAAGGATTGCAGTAACAAGTTAAGTTTAGAAATAACAACAAATTTAGATATGTATTGATGGTGCTTACAATCTTAAAGGCTTGTCGCGGCTTTTTCTGTCTTTTATCAAAGATTATAAGGTCCAGTTTTATCTCCTTATACATCTAAACCTCTGATCCAGCTGCCAGCTCAAACAGATAGGAAGCTTATAGTCACACTCACAGAGTTTCTGGTTACCCTCCTGCCTAAGGCTAAGTGCCTTTAAAATCTCATCATCTTTCCTTCCTGTTCCTGGAATCACCTTGCCAAACACACATTTTCATTTGACGGCGCCTCTTCCCTGTACGTCCCATTTGACCTCCTCCAAAACAACCTGAATTTGAATCTCAAATGAAATGCAAATGCCCCTGGAAAAACCCAAATCAGATACAAATACAAGAAGTCAATCAGTGACTGAAGACACCCCAGCTGTTTGAGGAGAGGGTTTGAGGCGCAGTGGTGCCTATGGAGGACTTTTTAATGAATCTAACACTGGAGAATTAGAGCTGACTGAGTGTGTGAGCGCCAATCAAAGGCAGACTGGAGCAGGCAGATGTACAGGCTCCTCATTAACTCTCACTTTTCCCCTTCTCCTTCTGCTCTGGCCGAGACGAGGCGAGGCTGCTCAGTAATAATGATAACGCTCTCCTCCAAACCTGAAACATCCCCAGACACAGAGCCAAACACTTCAACAGGAACACCTTAGTCTTTATACCTTTTTTCTTTAATTAAGTCATCACTTATGCTAACCTGTTTTAAAGGTCAAACTCATTGTATCATGACCGTAACAATATAAAAGTGTGAAACTATTCTCGGAGAACAGTTTCACAATCTTACCTCTTTGCAATCTTTCCCTCTCTCCACACAGAATGACACTTGGACCGAGCTCTACTCCTTCGCCCTCTTTAAGGCCATGAGCCACATGCTGTGTATTGGATATGGAAGACAAGCCCCGGAGAGCATGTCCGACATCTGGCTGACCATGCTCAGTATGATCGTGGGAGCCACCTGCTACGCCATGTTCATCGGCCACGCAACCGCACTCATCCAGTCTCTGGACTCCTCCAGACGGCAATACCAGGAAAAGGTAACAATCGTATTTCTTTCTTTTACTGGATGTTTACTGCTTGATTTTACTGGATAGCTTACAGCTAATGTATATAGTGTGGGGCAGATAAGGTGTCAGTTCAAACAAGAAAATCACCAACCCTTTGCAGACATGCAGATAGCTGTGTAGTTTTACACAACTATGTCCAGGTTTTGAGATTTCCATATTGAGATTGAGTGGTTAAATTAACTTTGTGTTCAAAGCATTCCATTTTCATTTAAAGGTGGGATAGGTAATTTTGGAGAAACCAGCTCGAGTGCGCTAGAAAAAAAGAAAAAAAGTTCAAAAATTTGAAAAAATCTGCCACTTCCTTACAGAGCCCCTCCTCCAACACACACGAACGCGCACATGACCAATGAGGGCACAAGATAAGTTTGTGCACAGATAGAAGGCTGACAGGCAGGTAGGCCATCCAGTTATTTTAGCCGGGCCGGCTCAGATGATTGGTCGTGCTTTTTACAGCGCTACGGCTTCCACAGATGACCATTTTTTTATGGATCTTTTGTCAAACACTTCAGATATTCAT